GGACCACCCTGTATATTTAGGAATAATTGTTAAATATAATCATACAACTTTTATATTAAAAATTTCGTCGTATTTCTAATAATAAAACAGCTATCTATCAAATATGCGTTATTGGCTAACTATTGGTATCGTTGTATAGACAAATTTTTAAAGAATTTTATGATAAGATAATATACACGATGATGCATTTTAAAAAATTGAGTAAATTGAACTTAAAATCAGTTCTATCTCCACTATTCGTTAGCTTAGTATCTTGTAAGTCTGTATATTAAACAATTTTGAGATCAATGTAAACCTACCTAAATTATGATAATTTAATTTGCGGTCTGCATCATTCTCTAATTTCAAAAAAAATTAATGCTTGGCAATAGTGTAATATTTTATAAAAATATTTTAGGATTGAATACAGTATTACTAAAATATTCTAAAAATAAAATACAGGGTATTCTATCTAAAAAATATACATTTTTATTTGCCAGGAAAAACGCAATACCCTGTATATCCAAAAATATTTTTAAAATATCTATTTTTAAAATCTATATAACTTTTATTAGCTTTTATTAGATTAAATTTGAAGTTTAAAATTTACTGTTTATTAATTTTTGAATTATCGTCAAAACCTAAAGTACAGTTGAAAACTACAAGTCGAAAAAAAAAGCAATCCTATACTTTACTGGATACATGAAAGTTAAAACCTAATTTAAAAAAAAAAATACATTTAAGCATATTAGATTTGTATGAATATTTGAAATATTCAATTTTATAAAACACCTAAAAGTACCATTAACACCTAGGCTCCAGTATCCAACAAAATAAGCAAGCAATAAATTTTTACCATCACTGTTACAGACATTTTCCAATCTCAAAGTATACAGTTGAGGCTTTCTCTCATTACTTACATATCCTTCATGCTCTTACGCAAATATTAAATATGTTTAATTCTTACAAAATAAAAAAAATCGAATACAAATCAACTTAATAATTGAAATGATATACATATTAGTAAACTCCTAAATAAGGACCTGCATATTTGAATTTATTTTTATTTTTATTCAAGACGACTTTAGCGCCATCTATTAGAGAAGCTCCGAATTAACCTGTGGCTACTGTATGCAGTTTTAGGAAGTTTTCTTTTATATTTTAGGCAATTATTACACATAAATAGCGATTTATAATTTATTCCAAAATTTACTTCAATGAGCTTTTAAGAAAATTGACGCAATTAAAAGTGACATTTGTTGCTTTAGTATATAGCCTATTCAAAGAAGAATTATTTTCATCATCGGGTAATTATTACTGGTATATTTTTAGCTTTATTTCATCGTAAAAATTACCATATTTTGGGAATTATTTTTAAACGATCCCTTATAGTTAGAGACACCAAAAACCTTTATTGAACAGTAGTATATATTTATTATCGGTAGGAATTTTTTCACTTTTATCTTTGTTGTAGTTTCAGCTAAAAAATCATTGAAAGAGCGTTGTGTATGCCTATGTTAAATACATTGCCCACGCCCGCCCTTAACGATTGAAAGTGTTCTATCTGACTCAATATTTAAAAAAACAAATTCGTGGTTTATTAATATGGCTGTAAAATATACCAATGCGAAATATACCGATATGTTACTGACATTAGGATTTTGGGAAGGAAATGCTCGAGAGAGTGTCAGGGTGTACTCTGAAAGGTTTCCAAATCGTCGTGTACCTAGCCACCCAACTTTTGCTGCTGTTGAGAGACGCCTTCAGGAGACCGGTTCCTTTGCTCCCAACACTGTTGATAATGGAAGAGAACGTTTTGAGAGGATTCCTGAAGTTGAAGAAGACATTTTAGAAGGTGTTGAAGAAGATCCAGAATTAAGCACCAGACGAATTGGAAGGGAACTAGGAGTACGTAATGGAAGGGAACTAGGAGTACGTAAAGATGTCGTTCATAAAGTGCTTAGAGAACAATTGGTATTATTAGTCCATGATCCTCAAATTCGTTTGGGTTTTTGTCGATTTGTTAATATGCAAAGAGAAAGAGATCCGAACTTTGTCAAGAAGGTTCTCTTTACCGATGAAGCGGGTTTTACAAGAAGAGTTTTATGAACATGTTTATGCTGTTGAAAATCCGCATGCAATAAAGGTTAACCATTTTCAGCAAGAATTCAAAATTAATGTGTGGGCTGGAATAATTGGTAATTTCATTGTTGGTCCTGTCATACTTCCACGAAGATTAACTGGAGAAAATTATTTGGCTTTTCTACAAAATACGTTGCAAGAATTGTTAGAAGATTTACCTCTTTAATTTCGGAGAGATATGTGGTTTATGCAAGATGGAGCTCCACCACATTTTTCTTTAAACTTTAGAAACCACTTGAATGAATAATATCCACATAAATGGATAGGCAGAGGTAATGACGCACCTGTAAACTGGCCACCACGTTCCCCAGGCCTAACACCGATGGATTACTTTTTATGGGGACATCTGAAATCCACAGTTTACAGGGAACCTGTGGAAAATGAGAAACAACTCTGGCAACGTATTCAAGATGCAATAAACAATCTTATAGGTGATGAAGAAGTTATGGAAAGGATACATTTTAATTTTCTTCGACGTATAAATCTTTGTATGCGTGAAAATGGTGAACATTTTGAACAATTTTTGTAAAATCTCTATTTTGATTATGTTGTAAATAAATATTTTTGGGAAACCTATACACTCTAAATTATTAAAACAGAAATTTAGCGAAAACCATGAGAGTAATCAAGTCTTATCAGGAGTACCTTTTTTAAAGTAAATGAGTTGCGCAATCTAAATTTCATACTCAAACTCCTTTTTTTTCATTGGCGTAGAATTTTTAAAGGTGCAATTGTTTTAAAAATCAAGTTCTACGCCTATGTATTATTATCGGACAAAATGTTAATACCATTTTTTTGCCACATGAAACTCTACCAATATACCAAATTTCAGCAAAATCGCATATGCCGTTTTAAATTTATATGGGAAAAACGATTTAAAAATTGCAACTTCAAGGCCCTCTGGAGCCCAAACGAAGCAACTTTGTACAGAGGTAATTTTACTTAAATCGACTTCTTTTGGTCTAAGGAATATGAGGTAAGTTTTTGTAAAGACCTTTTACAGACACCCTGTATATTCTAAAATGACTATCTGTGATATTTAGACGTCCAGTATTCACTATATATACATAATGGTGCATATTTCGGCCAATACGTTGACCGGGAATGGTGAGAAATTGAAAGATTCATTAGTCTTAATTTTGAAATTGCTTTAACATTTGAAAGAAAATATTAAAATAATATATATTATTGAAGGGAATTTAATTCTCTACAATCCTATGGTAAGCACTAATTTTTTGGGTACAGCGTTGAAGAGTTATTTGGTCAAAAAGAGCAAAATATGTAAGGCAAAAATGATTTTTTCCAAAATTACGGACTTTTGAGAGCTGATATATCGAAACCTACACAAGATATGGAGAAAAACTTTATTTTAATGTGCGCCCACATAGTGTAATAAAATTCGAAAAATAAGATTTGGAATAAAGAGAGGTGTAGATCAAAATGAAAACACAAGTTTTATGTATTTTGTTACGTCTTTTAGTCATCAAGAAAATATTTTAAGAAGATTTTATTACAATTACTATTACTATTAAAATTATTTAATAACCTTTATAAATCTGTTTTAAAATTGTCATTTGTTTATAAATAGAAAATATTGTTTTTGTAAATTCTTAAATTTCGTATATTTGGGCATAATGAAATTATTTTAACGGGATTTCATACGTCAAAACATAAATTGTTATCGAACTTTTTGTGCACTTTTTCCAAGCCGAAATTCGATTTCCAAATTTTATTTTTCAAATTTTCACACTACTTGAGCATATTAAAATTATTTTAGTAAGTGATTAAACGTCAAAATATAATTCTAAATCGTTATGGATCTTTATTGTACAATCATGTCGTTTGACCAATTTTTCCAAGTCAAAATTTGATTTCCAAATTTAATTTTTTATATTTTTACACTACAAATTATTTTAGGGGGTGATAAAACATAAAAACAATATTGTTAACTTATAAATCTTTACTATGAACATTTTTTTCTAATTCGAAATCTTATCTTATATTCCAATTGTATTTTTCGAAATTCGACACTACTTAAAACTATTAAAATTATTTTAGGGTTGGTCAAATGTCAAAACTTAAATTTATTTATTGTGCACTTCTGTTATTTGTATTTTTCGAATTTTCACACAACTTAGAAATATTGAAATTACTATAGAGGGTGGTCAAACGTCAAAACATAATTTAAAATCTTTAGGGATTTTACTGTGTCCTTCAGTCGATTAACCATTTTATTGAACTATAAATTGGATTGAGAAATATTTTTTTTTTAATTTTTAACCCCTCAGGGGTCTTTTGAGGTATTTCAGGGGGTGATCAAACGCCGAAACATAAATTTAAACGTTTTTGGATCCTATTTTACCTTTCTGACTATTGATCGATCTTTTAAAGTTGAAATTCATCTCAGAACTATTCTTTTTCTATAATATACCCCTTTAAAGTATTTTAAGGAGCGTTAAAAAATCTGGGAGGTATTCAAACATGGTCAAAAATGGTTAATCTTATGGTGCAGTCTGTTTTTTAAAAAATATTAACATCGGGGGGCCAGCGGCACTCGGCCATTAATATTTTTTTAAATATTTAGGTTAAAAAGATTTAGTGGGTCAATCATGGTCACACGTATGCCACTTCTAAAACTAAAATTTTCTAATTTTGAGGGGCCAGTTTCACAGAGCTCCCGACATGCTGCAGCCTCGGCAGCTTTTAGAGCAGGAATTAATATTAAAACTTTAAAAACCCAACAGGTTGGTCTAAAAACTCGGAAAAATTTTCGATATTTTATGAAAGGCCTATATCTAATAATTTGTTATTAGCAAAAAGCGCTATCACTTGATCAAGGTTCAGAATAAAATGGAGAAATAACATCTTTTGTATCTTACCTGTAAAACTTGCAAAATATTGGTAAAAAGCATTTCCAATGTTTTTATTGACACCCGAATTTATTTTCATTCTTAATTTTTTAGTGTTTTTAATAATCTCTTTACAACTTCTTGACCTTCGCCGTATTATTTACTTAGCTGAAAATTACCCCATGCCGAGATGTAACTAACTAAATTATTTTTGCAAAACTTTCTATTTGAATATTTTTAATGAAATAAAAATGTATTATTACTTTAATATTTTAAGTAGTAGCTATAATATAATATTACAATATAATGACATTTGCTATGGATTATATCACGCAAAAATATTTGTTGTGCTTAGTTACTTATTTCGGTATATTCTAAATTTAGATGATAATAAAAAATTTTAATTTTAGTTCATCAATTTAAAAAAATCTGCTACACTTTTAATTGTGGATTTTCTAATGTGTTAATTATCAGGTTGAAAGTACGATGTATCAACTTCTATTTTATTATATTAAAAATTAAATAAATAAAGAAGTCCTTACAATTTACGAAACGTTGTATTAAACAAAATGAATACGTTTTTCTAAACAAAAAATGTTTCTAAATAATAGCATTTTAATAATATTGTGATGTTTGTTTACTTTAAAACAACAGTTTATTTATTAATAATTTATTTAAACACTTATTTATTTTATAACACTACTATTTTAATTTATATATATTTCGAATGTCTTCGAATCGTTCACCATTTATATTCACCACTGTCTATCTACTAATTACTATTTATCTTCACTGTCCATATAATAATTAATGTTGCTCCTCCACCAATATTTATATATAAATTGGTGGTCTAGAATGCTCCTCCACCAAAATTTCTAGAATGTACCAGAAACGTTATCACGATGACTCAAGAATGTTCGCGAAAGTATCTCCGCCATATTCGTCACATATGTTTGGTCTTAAGGGGTTTAATTATGTATAATAATCGGACAAGTTGAGCCTCAAAGGCCAAATAAGACAGAGAGGGACTTGGATGATTAGAGCATGACTGAATATTAAAATGGCTCACATAACATTGCCCCCTCCTTAAGAGATAATTCCTTCTGAAACTCTTACGAAACTAAACTGGGATGGTTGTATCTGCAACTGAATCCTCTTTTACAATTTCCAGTTGCATGGAAGTAACAAGGGACTTTTTCGCCTTCCTTGAAACATCCCTCCGTAGCTTGAATATCATACCGTTTCTTCATCCTGTCGCTGGCGATTTGGAGGTGCGAGCGAACTAATTCATGCATGTCGTCCATTCTTCTTCGTAACTGGATCACATAATATATTATAAATTATATAATTTAGTTATTAAAACCGCTGTTTTTCCAAAAATATGGAAAACTGCAATTTGCACACCAATTTTCAAGTCTGGAGTTAAGAGTGATATTCAAAATTACAGACCAATTTCAGTAATGTGTGCTCCCTCAAAATCATTTGAACAGATAATTTACAATAAACTGTATGCACATGTTAAAAGTAGTATTGCTGATCAACAACACGGTTTTGTATCAAACAAATCAATTAATTCAAATTTGCTTTTGTATACACACGATTGGATAAAAAGATACAAACTGACACCGTATACACTGATTTCAGTAAAGCTTTCGACAGAGTGGACCATGATGTGTTACTGGAAAAAAGTTATCAGTTTGGACTTACAAATAGAAGTATGTCCTTATTTAAAAGCTATTTACAAAACAGGTTTTTTGTAGTAAGGCATGATGGTAATACATCTGGAAAATTTACAGCAAATTCAGGTGTTCCGCAAGGGTCCAATTTGGGGCCCTTGCTCTTCCTTTTGTTCATAAATGATCTACCAACTGTAGTAAAATACTCAAAATGCCTGATCTTTGCTGATGATTTAAAAGTATATAAAGAAATTCAAACGGTACGTGATTGCATTCTACTTCAAAAAGATATTAATAGTATTTATCAGTGGAGTACAAAATTTAAATTGAACTTTAATGTAAAAAAATGTAGTGTTATTAGTATAACTAGACAAAAACAACCTATTATTTTTAAATATGAAATGAATAATAGCGATCTGGCTCGAAAAAATGTTATTAAAGATTTAGGTGTAACATATAATAATAAATTATCCTTTGGTATTCATATCGAAAACACGATGAAATCTGCAAATCGGGCTCTTGGCTTTTTAATAAGACAAACTACACTTTTTACGGATATAAATACCATAAAACGTTTATATTACACATTAGTAAGATCAAAATTAGAGTTTGGTTCAATCATATGGATCCAAGGAATTGAAAAAATACAGAATAAATTTTTAAGGTATTTGTATTATAAAAAATATCACACTCGGCCTGATTTCAAAACCGTAAGATCAAGTGATTTAAGAACTGAATTCAAAATAATATCTTTAGAAAGTAGACGAAAATTACTATCAATGATATTTTTATATAAAATTATTAATAATCGAATAAATGCACCCAATTTATTATCACTTTTACCATTCAGTATTCCTACACGAACTACTCGAAATTTTAACATATTCTATATACCCTTCTTACCTACTATTCGATCTCCCATTGTGGACATACTTCGGATGGCGAACAATTTAAATTACCTCCATGATCTTGACTGGAATATATCTTTATATAAATTTCGCATTTTAATATTTCAATGTCTTATAAATATTTTCACCTAAATTATGTTTTGAATTTGATCCCTTGTAATTCTGAAACCCGCTCACTCTGATATTTTATTTTCTTCCGATTATATAAATTAGTAAACTTTATCTGTATAAACTTATCCATGTAATTAGGCCTATAGGCCTGTTTGGGTAAATAAATAAATAAATAAATAAATAAATAAATAAATAAATAAATAAATAAATAAATAAATAAATAAATAAATAAATAAATAAATAAATAAATAAATAAATAAATAAATAATAAATAAATAAATAAATAATCTTCACCAGCTACATCTTCTCCAGGTCGGCGTCCAAACTCGAGGTCCCTGGTGTTTGGCCTATTGATTCATTAACAGCGGATCTATAAGCCATTGCAAAGAGCGAAAGATACTGATCCCAATCTCGCTGATGGTTTGAAACCACTTTTGACAGATATTTGCCAATGGTCTTATTCATTCGAACTACCATTCCATCGGATTGTGGATGCAATGCTGTGGTTCTAATTTTCTTCATGCCTAGTCCATCACAGATTCCACGGAAAAGTTGACTTTCAAAATTTCTGCCTTGGTCACTGCGAGAAGAATTGTTCATGTTTGGAAGCCGGACTGAAATGCTCGCCTGTCTGTGGTTCGTGTCAGTCGACACAGTGTTTTAATTATAACAAAAATTAAGGTATTTTCCCGGAAGAATTAGAGATGGATCGAGACCCAGAAGAGGTTAAAGGGTAGGAGGATAAAATAGCTGTCGAAACAGCAACACAGAGATTGGAAAAACAAGGGGAAAGGGACGCGTAGAGGAGGGGAAAGAATAGAGCAAGAGCAAGACGATGAAGAGTATGATTTTGATGACATTGAATGGTTTAACGTATGATAAATTATAAGCATTGCTATGTATTTCGTATTTTAATTATGTTTTTCATAATAAAAGAAATTTTTTAGAAACTTTTTTTATTTTTCTGAAATCCTGGATCTATATTGTTCCAATAGAAGTTGGCGAAAATTTTGCAAAAGACGCAGAAAATTTAAAGGGTCTTCTCGGGTCAATAAGAATTGAGCCATAAAGGAAATCTGGACCGACTTAATGTCAGCTTTGCATATTTTCAGGTCTTCAGTTACTGGACTATTTGTTGTCCTCATGTATAATTATTCCCATGCTCATTTGTTTATACAGGGTGTGTGTTTGCGAATAATGAAACATATACTTTTCTAATTAAATTTGGTATTTATTATCTATTTTTTGGTCTTGTGATGTTTATATCATCATAGTATATTATAATATATTTATTTTGATTCGAACAGCTAGCAAATTTTTAATTGACTTTTGACATTTGGAATAGTGTCAACATCCTATCTATTCTTCCAAATACATCCGCGGGTCGAGATTACTAACTAGTTTCTACAAAACCGTCTTTAACTCCGTGCACTTAGCCAAAATAGCAGTTTCCTCTTGCTGAAAAATAAACGGATGTGCTGGACACGAAAAACTCTCTTTGTTCTTTTCTAACCTCAAGTAGCTGCTTTAACAAAAGCAGTTTTAATCCCGCGAACCTTAAGTTCGTACTCTAATTCGTTCTTCCTTAACCTATTAATTGCTATATTACCTAGTTTGTGAGATTTAAACAAATTTGTTTAAAAAAAAAAAACACAAAAATAAGTACAAAAGTCACTACATACCAAGATAACAATATAAATAAACCTTGATAAAATATAGTGATCAAAAGTGCGCAAAAATCAATAACAACGTGAAAACAGTAGTGTCCACTAAAATCCCATGCCATCCAATACAACAACTAATTGGTATTTAACTGTTACTAACAAAATAGTCCTAATCAGGGGCGGTTTCCCCATTGGTTCATTTGTGCAGTGAACCCCCAGTTACATTTCATTAAAACATTATTTAAAAAAAATATCATAAAAATATTAATTTAATTTAAATAATTTTATTGTTTTCATACGTGTTAATCTCTATTTTTTGGTACGCCACTGCGCTTTTGCTAATCACGTTTCCGTGGCGCACCTTTATAAGTAAGCCCGAAGAAGAAAGAAACGTTCTCGAAAGTTTTTAGCCTAAAAAGAGATGTCACATGTTAACAGATCCCTAAAACGTAGTGAAACAAACATAAAATCACTTAAATCAGCTCAATTTGTGCAGCGCACACAGTGATGTCACAAAATAGGGCGGGTCATACGAACTTTTCAATTATTGATATAAAATAAACGGGAGATGCTATGATGATACTAAAACTGTTCGCAAAGTTTTACATCATATGTCAAACTCGAGCAAGTGAAATTAGTTAGTTTTAGTAAAAATAAATTAATTTTTTTTAAATACCATATGAATGATATAAAAACATTTTCATTAAGTTATTCTTCAAATTGTTAACGACAAATTAATCAACATACAACTCAACTTGTCATATCGCAAAATAGTGTTTATGTCTTTTCTACATTATTT